CTCTTCTTGTGTTCAAATAGCATTACATGCCGAATGTGTGTCTCGTCGTGTGCCATCACTGTAAAGGATTAGGGTATACTAAACTTTGCACATTACATAGGCTACACTAATGTGATGTTTAGGCGGTTCGTTTAACTATTTTACGTGATGTACATTTATTGGGGGTGGTTAATGAAAGTATTTCAAAACACGACATTAATTTCTTAACGACCTGATACTTAAATATTGCCTTCTGTTGTGAGTCAGATATCTGTTTCTTGTTACATTATGAATGCATTCTTTAATTTTGTTTCGTATTAAATATAATTTTAGTATTTAATATATATTATCCTAAACTGAACTCCAAACCAAATTTATGCAACAGCAACAGCAAGCTTCAAACATTTTATAATTTATATAAAGTGCTTAGTGAGGTACTTACCTGTATATTTCGGGTTTACACACCATAGTTTTGTTGACTATAACACCTGGAATATACTTGTAGGCCAAGCCATTATTAAAGGAAGAATAAACAGGAGTTCCAAGTCCAGCTGCATTCATAAGTTCCATGTTCCGAACTTCAGCTTTTCGGTCAACGAACAAGTCAGTCTTCCTCCCGTATACTCGTATTAAAACCATGTCATCAGGATTTGGGGTCATGAAGCAGCCTATTAACTGATTTGTTGCACCTTCAGTAAACACCTAGTCATAATAGTGTAAAACACATAAGTATTCTCAAAATTGATATTTTTGTAATTTAAAGTCGCGAAAAATAACATTTAGTAAAAATATGGTTATATTAATTGCCTATATATATAGATATGTAATCTACTCATTTTATTTCTTGTAAGCATAAAAATATAACTGTGATGTGCCACATTATTGTATTTAGGTACACTGATATATTACATTGGATATCCACAAAATTCCCATTACAGAAATGTTATGCAAGGTAATATTTAATTTTTTTAACAGGAAAACTAAGGAAAATATGCTAAGAAATTTAACTGACCAAATGAAACAATCCTTTATTTACAGTAGTGAAAGCTCCTGAACCAAACTAGCTGGCTTCTAATTCTATAAGAATGCAATTAGTTGCTTATGAGAGGTATAGAACAGCCTTAAATTTCACTCTGTCATAACTAGTTTAGAATGTATTTGTAATCAGAAATCTTCACAAATTTTCTTTTCTAAATTTCAATGCAATTTCTGCATATATCTAATTACATTCTTGGTAGATGGTTATCAAAAGAGAAGTGGGAATATCACCCAAACTTTTGCTGCTTAACAACTTGTTCATATGAAAAGCAACTGATCCTCGTCCCAGAGTGATGCCCAGTTAGAAGGACAGAATAGCCCCACCCACTTAATTAGCACTATTCTAGTTGTGACACAGTACTAGGATATGTTAGTGATTGCTTAACCGTGGGCTAGGCTGGAGCTTGGAATGATGTAGGATGAACTGTATGGAATGTAGCCACACCCGCTGCCATTCGGGATTTTTCATATACAGCAACTAATTTGAAATTATCACCCATAGCTTGTCAGAACAGAAACTGCCTTTGTAATGTTGAGGATATTTCTCACATTCTTGTGGTGCCTTTATATCTCAATGATTAGTTCTTCCATAAACTTATCATGATGATATACTTGCAATAAACATAAGACATTACATAGTAAATTTTACCATATATATATTATGGAGTTTGTCTACTAAGGCTTTCAAAGATATAGAAGCTAAAAAGGATCAAGGAGTGATAGATATGAGTAATACTTCTTGGGCATCACTCCTTTGTACTTGTAAATATGAAAAAATGAATCTATAAGGTCCTTCATGGACTATCAGAAAGTGTATGAAATCACAAAGAAGGATGCCTACCTACTGTCAAGCTTTAACTAAACTTTGGATGCTTTATCTGGATCAAAATGGTATTCAACATCGAATAAGACTGCTAACAAACAAAGTATTATATAGAGTATGTAGAGAAAGAAAAACGTGTGGAATTTATAAGACAATACACATCCAAATGGCCATTGGTAACACAAATAAAAGAACACTTTTCTACATTTTGTGAATCAGTGGGTCTCCACATAAGTGGTGAGTGCCTACTAGTACATCTGCTAGGATTGTCACCTAGAACTCAAATAACAGTATACCCTGTAGTAATTATACTTGAATTATATTAAACATTGATTCTTACAACAGAGGCCAGCTGTCAAATCTTGCCATAAATTTGACACCTGTGATCTGCAAAAAATGCTTATTGTTCCAGTGCTTAATAATAACAATGATAGAAACACATTAGACTGCAGATAATTGTTCCTACATTCCTCTAAATTAGTTCATTATAGATTTCAATTAAATTGCAGAGGTTAAAATTAACATTTTAAACTTTTGGTTTTGTCTTACTACCACATTTCTGTTAGTTTGTTTTAGAGAAAGGCCACATTGGGCTACTTGCCGTGTTCACCATGAGGTATTGTACCCCGGATTTTAATGTTGTAACTCCATAACCCTACCACCGACCCACTGGAGGATTGCCATATGTCAGTAATTATCCAGGAGGTCTGTGATTCAGTACTATAATTTATCATCTGAGCTAGACACAATATTTCATTGTTTTTACATACATCCAATTTGAAATCCATTGAAGTTAAGTAAGACGACTGTCGAAACAAACATTGATGTATAGCAAGCTTTCTATAATTAAAGTTATTTTCTTACCTTAACTTTGATATCATTTGGATTCCAGTTTTTCTTTAGATGTTTTACGATTTCAAGTGAACCCTTTTTCAGATCTTCTAGTGATGAATCAGCTACTGTTATATCTAATGTTTGAAGAGGCATAGCTGAAAACCAAAATACGGAATGAACTTGGAAAATGTTTTAGTTAGTGCAAAAACTCTTCTCTAAAATTATAGAAAATACTTTACTATAAATGTAGTTTTAGGATAATTTTAAATAATATATGATTTAAGTCATGAACACATTAAAGTCATCAAATCATTTAAGAACTCTTCACTTGCCTACTACATATTTCACCATCTGATGCATTTTCATATGTAGTTCTCAATGATCGCAAACAGTCTTATGAAAATTCAAAGGAGTGGAAGAAAATGAAGAAACAATCAGCAGTACTAAATTGTCGGTAAACCTAGCTCCAAAACAGCCACCAAAGCACATAAAGGGCCTCATGGCATCGAATATTTATCAATCTAGTGTTTCACCAGCTCCACTTCAACAAATGCCACAAGGGATAATGGCATAGCAGTCATATGTTATCAGGGTTCCCTGATCTAGTTCACACAATTACGACTTATGCAGTATGAATAACCTCTATTATGGCTGGTGAGCAGCTTTCCACTTCTGAATACACACTTGCATAAATTATTTAAAACGTTAATTAAAAATAATAATAATTCAACAATTTTGTTCTCTACAATATTTAAAAATTTATATTTTTTTAATTTTGCAAAATTTAGTTAGTGCAATTTGCAAACAGGTTTTTTATTTCTCTACTCGTCTTAAAATATAAGTTTATATTTACTTAGAAATTGCTATACCTAGGAAATACATTTATCCACGCTTTGTTTCTAACGTGATTTTCTCTCTATGACAGTGTTATATTTCAACAACTCTTCATGAAGGGTTTTTTTTACAGTGTGACAGAAAGTGGGTTGGACAGAGACTGATAGATTTTAATCTTAAATAAAAGTATTGGTTAAAATGATATAATGATATAATACAGATGATTATTGTTTAAGTTAATGCAATTTAAATAAAGTGGAGTGAGCAGTAATTTATGATTTCTGAGAAAGTGACTAGCGAAGATTCTAATATTTCTGAACAGAGGATTTTAATACAAAATTTACATAACTGAGGAACAAGTTAGAGCGCTAGGAGTTTTAATATAGTTTTTCAATAATAAATTTGTTCTTGATAATCTATTGGTGCTATATTACTTTGGTTTGAAAGCTACAGGTATATTCTCTATGAGAAGATGTCAAGTGATGATACTTAAGGTATTGAGTACAGTAAGCTAGAACTTCTGCTAAGAAAAATATTTCAGATGATACAAAAGCTTTTGTTATTTGTGTCTACGTAAAGTTATTATTACTGAAACTATACATAAAAATACAACGACTTGTTCCTTATTAAAAATAAGTGATAATTCAGAGAGAGTAATTAAGCTTAACTAAATATATTGTTGGAAAGTTATAGCTTTTATTAGCGTAGGCCAAGTATACGAGTGCAACCTTTGTTCCTACTGGTCAACGACTTTTTTCTGTCCATTGATGTTTTATGCTATTCTTGCAGCTACATAACTGCTTAAAACTTTGCCAGCTCTAACATTTCACACTTAAAACTTAACTGTTTGAAATATATCTTTAATTATATGTTTTTATTTTATTAATAACTAAGTAAACTAGAGATTAATGATAATACTATAGTTGTGATTAATGACTAAGTAAACAGTTGTAGTTAATAAATATCTATTTTTCAGATTTTGCTGAAGATGGAATAAGTGTATCCCAAAACGTTCGAACCTTGTAAATAAAACATTTAGTGTTTTGTCAACCGTCTTTGCCTTTATTATTAAACTTCGTTTTCCTCATCATGAATCCATCGAAATTATTGTTGCTAATCGAAATGATCAAAGTGAAAGCTCACAAAGTGATGTTTAGTAGCTCCTTACATAATAACTAGCATTGAGGTAAAGACTTTTACAGTGATATACTGTATGTACAGGTGTAAATGATACCTCCTGAACATTTAGTTACACATTAATATGAGGTTATGTAATGAATGTGCAACTGCTTTGAAGAGATAATAAAATAAAATGCAGAAATAGGATTTAGACTTCATACAATCCAGTAAGCAAAGTTATAGGAGGGCACTCTTTAAAGATCAATCCAAAGTTCAAATTATTTGACAATAATTAATGTTTGTATGTTCAATAGCACAAAGAAGAATTATATCATGATAAATATACATCAATCCTAAAAATACTTATAGACTAGTTTAAGCATAAGCTGCATATCAACCAATAGTATGAAAATCTACACAGAAATACTGGAAACCTGACTGACGTATGATTCAAATACATTCTCTTTCATGTTCCAGCAAGATAGTTCAAGCAGGCAACAAATGTGCTTAAACGATATCCGAAAGGGAAAAAAAGAGGACATTGGAACACTCGCAACCATGACATGATTTATACAAAGTTCCAGTATAAATACTGTTAAGGCATTATGGTCCTAAATGGAAACTGAAATAGTCACATGGTAACTACGAGTTTAGTTTAATTATGAGAAGTAACACGGGAGACTTGGTACAATATTTCACAATCATAGATTGATAAACGTATTGTGGCATAAACTAAAGTGTACTGCTCTGTTTAATGCAAATACATGACAAAAGTGCATTGTACAGCTTATTCATTTTGAATTCGATTTTTTTTATAATAATGTATTTCATTAATAATATAGTCGTACAATACATTATTACGGAAAATACAAAAGAAAAATGAATAGGTTGTACAGTGCATTAATCATTAGTCATGATTTATTGTTGTACTGCAATTCCTGTAGATTTCCATAATTAGTTTTTAATATTGAAAAGAAGTCAACTATGTTATATTAACCAAATATGCAAAAAGATCGGTCTATTGGACCGACACCACATTAGAGAAGGAATGGTGAATATAATTTTGAATTTACTAAGTGCACCTACATAAAATGTGTCAACCATTTAATACAATGTAAAAATTTGATGTACCCAAAAAATCAGAAATCTGACAAAAATATTTGTACTCCAGGTATGTCTGTTAATTGATGACATCAGTCTGATTCAGACTGTGACATGTCAGAGTACAAGATAGTGTTTATGTGAAGAATAAAAATACTTTTGTCCATTGAAATGTTTGCACATTGCATTTTCATAACCTCTAGGATCTACAAAAATGCACATCTACAGTTGTTTTCAGTATTCTTGTATAATTTGTATCTAGTATTTACTGTACCATGAACAGTTCCTAAATGAGGAGTGTATGGGTAAAATGAATAGTTGATAACTTTGACATTAAATACACAATACCATTGTAAATGACACTTTGTAAAAGGACAAGGCACGCATACATTAACCTCTTCCTATACAAATAGGGTTAAAAGATTTTGGCACTTTACCGCATTGTTCCAGTCCATGTTGCCATTTCCAGTTTTACTTTGTCTGACAAACGTGCATCTTGAAAATAACTCTGCCACGTAGTTTCTACTGCAAAAAAAAGCTTCATCTTAAGACATTCATGTCTAAAATATGCCGTTTTTTCTTGCATGCTTTCCATAATCAGTCTAATGTACAAAGACAATAGCTCCCTAGTTTCAATAGTTTGATTTTACAGTAATTTGATCATTATGTCTTCATATGGAATATCATTCTCCAACTGTGTGAGATTGTGTGTGTGATTTCTTATAGCAAAGCCACATCAGGCTATCAGCTGTGTCCATCGAGGAGAATCGAACCCCTGATTCTAGTATTGTAAATCCGAAGGCTTACCATTGGTTGAATTGATGAGTTATGGAAAGCAACTTATGTGGATGTGATTGGTGTCACATGTTAGAGTACAAATTCTACTGATATCTCGTAAGTATGGATAGTTTTTGCCACTGACTTATGTTCATGTTACAGGATGACAAACTTCGATCATCATGACTGTGATATGACTTGGTTGCTCCTTTATTTTACAACGATATTAAAATATCCCTATATAGAGATTTGAAATTTTTGACCTGAACACATCCTTATGATCTTAATGTGTGTGTGTGTGTGTGTATCAATTTTTGGTGGCATCACGCTACTGATGAAACACCAAATAATATCAAAATATGGTTATGATAGAAGCCATTCTATCATGACTTTATATTGGTTATTGTTTTCACGTGACTTATTAGTTTGCAATATTCATAATAGTTTTAATATAATGTACTCAACCCTCTGCATATGCAACTATCCATCTGAGGCATGAAAATTATCTGTAAATTACCTGTATATTGTATGAAACAATCTGTAACATGAATACAAACACACCTGTTTATGACTTGTAACATGCAGCTCGTCATTTGGAAAGTTTATGGAATAAGTACAGACATTTGAAAAATTACCTGCTTCAGGCTGACTGTTGCATCAGACTATTTCTAGTAGAAAACAGAATCTTTAATTTGATAGAGAAAGGGTTACAATGCCCTCTTTATCTAGATCCTTCTGACCTAATTATGATATAAAGTTGTTCCTTATATGTTGATTTAATGTATTATTTTTTATATACTATGACTTTGGAGAGCAGTGTCTACAATGTTGGTTATTCTTGGCTGTTATTACGAAGACAATTCATTGAAGAATACAGTAAGCTCCATTCTTATGTATAATACAATGTCAACCCCAGTATTTGTTTGCTCCATCCTGCCGGCTAGTGCTTAAAAATAACATTCGCATCAAATTTAGTCCTTATTTGCAGTATTTTTTCCTTCCTAATTATAATTTCAATGCTTCACTTAATCGTGTTTTTTTCGTTTTTCTCGATTACAAATATTAACTATTCCTATAATAATTCAGATTACCCACTTGCATAATCTTATTTTGTGGGATTTCCTTAATCATTTAAACCTTAAAATTATGTTTATGAACTATTTATTCAATCGAGCCTGAAATTTTCTAGATGGAGTATAAAAATGGGCCTTTAATGGTGTAGTATTAGCTAGTCTAGCTGAAAGTACATTACTTCTGTGCCATGGTTTAAAAACCACTACCTTTACACCTTTTCTTGGTTTCTGATATGACTAGAGTGTAATAA